CAGGTGTATTAAAAGGTCATGTTTTTGTCTTTAGGTGTATTAAAGGGCATGTTGTTATCTTCAGGTGTATTAAAGGTCATGTCTTCAGGTGTGTTAAGGGTAATGTTGTTGTCTTCAGGTGTATCAAAGGTCATGTTGTCTTCAGGTGTGTTAAAGGTCATGTTGTTGTTGTCTTCAGGTGTATTAAAGGGCATGTTGTTGTTGTTGTTGTCTTCAGGTGTGTTAAAGGGCATGTTGTTGTTGTCTTCAGGTGTATTAAAGATCATGTTGTTGTTGTTGTTGTTGTTGTTGTTGTTGTCTTCAGGGGCCCGTTTCTGAAAGAAGGTTTTGTGCAAAGTCTGAGTCAGTTAACCCTGAAATGAGGTAATTAGAGCCTAGGCTACATGACCGTCGGGAGATGTCAATTTAATTAGGGTTAATTATTAAGCTAAACGGGATAAAGGTGAGAGGACATTTAGCCTATGTGTGTGAATACAGCTTTATGTTGAGGATAAAGTTAATGCACATTCAAATAGACTCTGAATGAATGTTAACTTTAAATCTATATGAGCCTATTATAAATTGTACAGGTTAAATAGCCTACCATTCCATCAGTTTTGGCCTGCAATATTATAATTCTGATTAAATATTAAATTAATAGGGGCGCTGGTGGCGCAGTGGTTAGTGCGTGTACCCCATGTATGGAGGCTGTCGTCTCAAGCGAGCGGCCCGGGTTTACATCCCACCTGTGGCTTCTTTCCCGCATGTTATTCCCCACGCTCTCTCTCCCTGATTTCCGACTCTATCCACTGTCCTATCTATCCATTAAAGGCACGAAAAGCCCAAAAATAAATCTTTAAAAAAAATATATCTATATTAAATTATTAGACTTTACGAGCTGACGCGAACAGCTGTTTTCTCTAACATCACTTTTCTCTCCTTTGCCACTGCGCTGCAGTAGTGTCACTTTTTTTTCCTTCTTAAAACCTGTTCATATTCGCCGTAGCCTATGGCCACATGGAGATATTGATATATTTCGAGATGGTTAAAGTACAAGGATCTCTTTTATGTAACCTGTTTCCATGGTGAATCGCAGTATCGGGACTCCATTCATGTTGGCTTTTTATCGTCATGGTGCACGCGCTGAACACCGAGTGGACCTACTCAGTTGATTTAACGAATTCAAATCTCAGAGTTTCCCATCTGAGAGTAAATCAACTCAGAGCTCAGGGTTAGATTGAGGGTTTGTTGAACCTTCTTTCAGAAACGGGCCTCAGGTGTATTAAAGGTTATGTTGTTGTTGTTATTGTTGTTGTTGTTGTTGTCTTCAGGTGTATTAAAGGTCATGTTGTTGTCTTCAGGTGTGTTAAAGGTCATGTTGTTGTTGCCTTCAGGTGTATTAAAGGTCATGTTGTTGTTGCCTTCAGGTGTATTAAAGGGCATGTTGTTGTTGTCTTCAGGTGTATTAAAGGGCATGTTGTTGTTGTCTTCAGGTGTGTTAAAGGTCATGTTTTTGTTGTTGTTGTCTTCAGGTGTATTAAAGGCCATATTGTTGTTGTGGTCTTCAGGTGTTTTAAAGGTGATGTTGTTGTTGTCTTCAGGTGTATTAAAGGTGATGTTGTTGTCTTCAGGTGTATTAAAGGTGATGTTGTTGTCTTCAGGTGTGTTAAAGGGCATGTTGTTGTTGTCTTCAGGTGTATTAAGGTCATGTTGTTGTTGTCTTCAGGTGTATTAAGGTCATGTTGTCGTCTTCAGGTGTATTAAGGTCATGTTGTTGTTGTTGTTGTTGTCTTCAGGTGTATTAAAGGTCATGTTGTTGTCTTCAGGTTTATTAAAGGTGTATTCAAGGCCATGTTGTTGTTGTTTTCTTCAGGTGTATTAAAGGCCATGTTGTTGTTGTTGTCTTCAGGTGTATTAAAGGTCATGTTGTTGTCTTCAGGTGTATTAAAGGTCATGTTGTTGTCTTCAGGTGTATTAAAGGTCATGTTACTGTGGTTTTGTGGTCTTCAGGTGTATTTTTCCAGAACAGGTGTATTTATCACCGTGGACTGAAGGAATCAGCTGCCGTTCATTGCTCTTTGTTCCTCTTTTCTAAGAGAAATGCCGAACACTCAGTGTCTCTTTTATGGCGTCCTGCTGGCTCAGGCTCTTTGCACAAAAGGCTTCAGCGGCTCAGGTGCTATAAAGAGCAGCAGCTGCAGCACAGGTAACACACAACAGCAGCAACCAGCAACCAGCAACGAGCCGGGCAACCAAAGTGGCAACATGACATCCAGCAGCATGAACATGATGGGCAGGGTGAGAGCCACCAACACTTTAAACGTCTGATGTTTTTACACACAATGATTCTAAAGTTTAATGTTCAAATCAAAGTTTGTTTAATGTTCAAATCAAAGTTTGTTTAATGTTCAAATCAAAGTTTGTTTAATGTTCAAATCAAAGTTTGTTTAATGTTCAAATCAAAGCAGGAGCCTTGTTGGTCAGAACAGCTGTCAGTCATTGTGTTGTACTTCTTTTTTTTTCATCTAATAAGAGGCGGAGCTTATGACATATACTGCAGCCAGTCAACAGGGGGAGCTCTGAATAATTGTGATTTTTGTGGGAGCTCTCATGTCGTCCATCCTTTTATACACACTGTGGTATGTTCAAAGTTCTCAGTGATTGGACCATTCCCTTTCTTCCTTCAGGTCGTCTTCTACGAGGACAAGAACTTCCAGGGACGCTCCTACGAGTGCAGCAGCGACTGTGCCGACATGTCGTCCTACCTGAGCAGGTGTCACTCCTGCAGGGTGGAGCGCGGCTGTTTCATGGTCTACGACCGCACCAACTTCATGGGTAACCAGTATTTCCTGAGGAGGGGCGAGTACTCCGACAACATGAGCATAATGGGAATGAGCGACTGCATCCGCTCCTGCCGCATGATCCCCATGGTAACCACACAGCCAATCAGAGTTATTTACCTCAAACATGTTCACACAACCCCATGGTAACCACACAGCCAATAAGAGCTATTTACCTCAAACATGTTCAGACATCTCCATGGTAACCACACAGCCAATCAGAGTTATTTACCTAAAACACGTTCAGACATCTCCATGGTAACTGCACATCCAATCAGGATAAGTCACCTTGACCACGTACAGACATCTCCATGGTAACCACGCAGTCAATAAGGTTGACTCACCTTCAGTGAAGGCTGTGTGATTGTTGATAAGTGATTGGTTATCCTGTATGATGTTTAATTATGGACTGATGATTGGTTAGCGATTAGCTTTCACTGATGGTTGATTTTGGTTGACGTTGCAGCACCGCGGCTCATACAGGATGAAGATATATGAGAGGGAGAACTTCGGAGGCCAGTCGCATGAGCTGATGGACGACTGTGACAACGTGATGGAGCGTTTCAGGATGTCCAACTGCATGTCGTGTCAAGTGATGGACGGTCACTGGCTGATGTACGAGCAGCCCAACTACAGAGGCCGCATGATGTACATGAAGCCCGGAGAGTACAAGAACTTCATGAACATGGGCAACATGAGGGTCATGAGCATGAAGCGCATCATGGACTCCAACTATTAGTGTCTCCATGGAAACCAATAAAGTCTGACTTCACAACATTTACTGTCTGCGCTGTTTGATGTGTTCAAGATACACACAGGTGTGTTCATGTGTAGAGATACACACGGTGTGTTCATGTGTAGAGATACACACGGTGTGTTCATGTTTATGTAGAGATACACACAGGTGTGTTCATGTGTAGAGATACACACAGGTGTGTTCATGTTTATGTAGAGATACACACAGGTGTGTTCATGTGTAGAGATACACACAGTGTGTTCATGTTTATGTAGAGATACACACAGGTGTGTTCATGTGTAGAGATACACGCAGGTGTGTTCATGTTTATGTAGAGATACACACAGGTGTGTTCATGTTTATGTAGAGATACACACAGGTGTGTTCATGTGTAGAGATACATACAGGTGTGTTCATCTTTATGTATAGAGATACACACAGGTGTGTTCATGTGTAGAGATACATACAGGTGTGTTCATGTTTATGTAGAGATAAACACAGGTGTATTCATGTTTATGTAGAGATACACACAGGTGTGTTCATGTTTATGTAGAGATACACACAGGTGTGTTCATGTTTATGTAGAGATACACACAGGTGTGTTCATGTTTATATGTAGAGATACACACAGGTGTGTTGATGTTTATGTAGAGATACACACAGGTGTGTTGATGTTTATGTATAGAGATACACAGGTGTGTTCATGTTTATGTATAGAGATACACAGGTGTGTTCATGTTTATGTATAGAGATACACAGGTGTGTTCATGTTTATGTAGAGATACACACAGGTGTGTTCATGTTTATGTATAGAGATACACAGGTGTGTTCATGTTTATGTAGAGATACACACAGGTGTGTTTATGTTTATGTGTAGAGATACACACAGGTGTGTTTATGTGTAGACTTACACACAGGTGTTCAAGTGTGTTCATGTTTATTTGTAGATACTGTACACAGGGGTACAAACTCATCAGGGATGAAAAAGGTGACATGGATCCAAACCTCCTAGGGGGGTCCGGGGGCATGCTCCCCTAGGAAGACTTTTAAAAAATATCAGCTTTAAAATGTGAATTTACAGATGATTTTAGCATTCAAACCTACTAAAGAAGCAGTGCAAACAATAAGAAAAACACAATTCCTTGTCTATATGTTCCGTTTTAACTTTTTGATAAAGCTTCAGTGAAACATGAAAAACCTGTGCTCCCAACCTTCAGTCCCTTTTTATAAATGGGATGAATTTGCAGAACCTGGCTTACCCTGTTCTACTAAGGGGTGATGTGAAGGGCAGTCACTATGCAAGTAGCTCTCAGGGCAAGTGTCTGAGAGAGAAGACACAGACAGAGAAAGCATGAATCAGGTTTTCATGACAGTTCGCGACGCAGATTTACCCAAAACAGTTTCCTGTTTCATGGATGTGATAAAAGAGTTCAAACAACAGGAAGTGAATAGGATGTTTTTTATTCTCTTTGTTAGTCAGTCTAAAATAAACAAACAGTAAGAATATGAAAATATAAAGGTTTCAAACATATCAAAGTATCAAAAATAGCTGTTCAAAGAAGAAGGGAGCAGTGCCCCCCTGTGTTCACCTGAAGCCCGTATCAGGTTGAACAAACTTTCAGTCTAACCCTGAGCTGTGAGGTGATGTATCCTCAGGTGGGAAACGTTACAGAACAGCCGATTTGAGTTCACTCCCCTCTGAGTCGGTTCACTTGTTGCTCAGCGCATGCAGCATGACTTTAAAAGACAACATTAATGGAGCCCAGATACTACGATATAACAAAGCAACAGGTGACATAAAGAGGTCCTTGTACTTTCTCCCTCTGAATTATAAATCATCATGTGGACATTCAGTGAGTATGAACATGTTTTTAAACTAACTCTGCTGCAGCAGCAAAGCAGAGAGAAGTGGTGAGGGAGAAAAATTCTGCTCGAGTCAGCGTGTAAGTTTGAATGTAGTATATTTATTTAATATAAAACGCCTATCATGAAACATTAAAATAACCTGGTTTTTATTGAGACCAATGGTGAATCTCCACTAACACAGCATGATACAAACTGAATGACAGAGCGAGGAAATTAAAGTGTTTCTGGCTCTGAAAGAGGAGACGGAGAATAACTCAGGTTCATTCAAGACAACCTGCTTCCGAACAGGTAAGGTTCATAGAGTCAGAGCTAGAATTACCATACTACTGAGTCAGAGCTAAATTTACCATTTTCCTGATTTCAGGGTTACCGGCTCAGAATTTGCATTGGACCTGCTCTCTGAAAAGGGCCACTGAGTTCAGATGCTAATGTACTAACACACATTAGCACGCTACACGATCAGGTCAACAGAGTGGTTAGTGATGTGGAATAATCTGGACGTCACACTGCAAGAGAGAAACTTTTTTAAAAGTCTGTGTTAGCCACGTTAGCTCTGAGTCTGTATTAGCCATGTTAGCTCTGAGTCTGTATTAGCCATGTAAGCTCTGAGTCTGTGTTAGCCACGTAAGCTCTGAGGCTGTGTTAGCCACGTAAGCTCTGAGTCTGTGTTAGCTACTTAAACTCTGAGGCTGTGTTAGCCACGTTAGCTCTGAGTCTGTGTTAGCTACGTAAACTCTGATTCTGTGTTAGCTACGTAAGCTCTGAGTCTGTGTTAGCTATTTAAGCTCTGATTCTGTGTTAGCTACGTAAGCTCTGAGGCTGTGCTAGCCACGTTAGCTCTGAGTCTGTGTTAGTTACGTAAGCTCTGAGTCTACATCAGACATGTAAGCTCTGAGTCTGTGTTAGTTACGTAAGCTCTGAGTCTGTGTTAGTTACGTAAGCTCTGAGTCTGTGTTGGCTACGTATGCTCTAAGTATGTGTTAGCTACATAAGCTCTGAGTATGTGTTAGCTACGTAAGCTCTGAGTCTGTTAGTCATGGTGTTTCTGCTCACATTAGCTGGTTCATTTTAGCATTTAGCTCTGCTAGCATAGCATAGGCAAATTAACAGCAGTGTGAATTAGTTAACGATCAGCTGAATATGAAATATTGATTAACAGTGATACAGTTAAATGCTAATTATGGATATATGCTTAATAAGCTTTATATGCTTTAATAAATGCGATTTGTTCTTGACTCATTCAGGTTCTCATCCAGCAGAGTGGGAGGAGTCTTAAACACCTGAACTACCGTTAGCACCACCCATAGACCCGTCAGCCACCTCCTCTGCGTCCTTAAGCTGGCTCACCATCGCCACCTCCTCTTCTAGTTTCCCCTGCAGAGTGCTGCTGATCGGTTCACTTGACACCTGCTGGTAAAGTGACAACCAAGTGTGCTTTTAATTATCCTGCTAGTAAAAGCAACCGCATGCTAACCTCATTACCACGTCCTCGCCAAAGAAAAAACAGATAGTTTACAAATTAAACACAGAGACTGCTTTTCTGAGAGACAAATACACACCTGAACAAACATGGACTATAACAGGAAGGACAACCAAATGGAGACACTTCAGACCTTGAGCATAAAAATGCTCTTAAACACTCCTCAACATCTGTTCTAGATTAGACAGGTGAGTACAGAGAGCAGTCGTCTGCATAGAGAGAGAATCAGCAGGTCAATGTTAATAACATCTGTTCTAGATTAGACAGGTGAGTATAGAGAGCAGTCGTCTGCATAGAGTGAGAATCAGCAGGTCAATGTTAATAACATCTGTTCTAGATTAGACAGGTGAGTATAGAGAGCAGTTGTCTGCATAGATAGAGAATCAGCAGGTCAATGTTAATAACATCTGTTCTAGATTAGACAGGTGAGTATAGAGAGCAGTTGTCTGCATAGAGAGAATCAGCAGGTCAATGTTAATAACATCTGTTCTAGATTAGAGAGGTGAGTATAGAGCACTCGTCTGCATAGAGAGAGAATCAGCAGGATAATATTAATAACATCTGTTCTAGATTAGACAGGTAAGTATAGAGAGCAATATTAACAACAAGTCCAGAACCACACACACCTGTAAGACTTCAAATCTTTAATGGGCTTGTAATGTTTCTCCAGAACAAACTTCAAGTTAAGAAAAGAAAAGAAAAGAATAGAACAGAACAGAACAGAACAGAGACAAACCTTGGGGGATTTTTCATTAAATTTGTCCTGCAGTCTGTCTTTAAGAGCGTCCACATCGCCTGAATCACCAAACACCTGCACAAGGATTATTATTATTATTATAATTTTTATTATTATTATTATTATTATCAACAATATTACTGATCAGGTGATGTTACCTGTGCATGCAGGGCTGACAGGATGTCCATACAGTGGATTTTGTCTCCAGGCAGCAGAGGAAGATCCATGTTGGTCAGTTTGATGGAGTTTGGTTTTGGAATCTTCAGAGGACCCTGCAGAGCGCTGCAGAACTCTGACAGCTCACTGTGCAACACAGAAAACATTAAAGTCTGTTAGAGTACACATTAGAGTCTGTTAGAGAACACATTAGAGTCTGTTAGAGTACAAATTCGAGTATATTATAGAGTCTGTTAGAGAACACATTAGACTCTGTTAGAGAACACATTAGAGTCTGTTAGAGTACACATTAGAGTGTTATAGAGTCTGTTAGAGTACACATTAGAGTATGTTAGAGTACACATTAGAGTTGGTTATAGAGTCTGTTAGAGCACACATTAGAGTCTGTTAGAGTACACATTAGAGTCTGTTATAGAGTCAGAGTACACATTAGAGTCTGTTAGAGAACACATTAGAGTCTGTTAGAGTACACATTAGAGTCTGTTAAGAGTACACATTAGAGTATGTTAGAGCACACATTAGAGTCTGTTAGAGTACACATTAGAGTCTGTTAGAGTCTGTTAGAGTACACATTAGAGTCTGTTAGAGAACACATTAGAGTCTGTTAGAGTACAAATTCGAGTATATTATAGAGTCTGTTAGAGAACACATTAGACTCTGTTATAGAGTCTGTAAGAGAACACATTAAAGTCTGTTAAGGGTACACAGTCTGTTAGAGAACACATTAGAGTCTGTTAGAGAACACATTAGAGTCTGTTAGAGAACACATTAGAGTCTGTTAGAGTACACATTAGAGTCTGTTATAGAGTCTGTTAGAGTACACATTAGAGTATGTTAGAGTACACATTAGAGTCGGTTATAGAGTCTGTTAGAGCACACATTAGAGTCTGTTAGAGTACACATTAGAGTCTGTTATAGAGTCAGAGTACACATTAGAGTCTGTTAGAGAACACATTAGAGTCTGTTATAGAGTCAGAGTACACATTAGAGTCTGTTAGAGAACACATTAGAGTCTGTTAGAGTACATATTAGAGTCTGTTAGAGTACACATTAGAGTATGTTAGAGCACACATTAGTCTGTTAGAGTACACATTAGAGTCTGTTAGAGCACACATTAGAGTATGTTAGAGCACACATTAGAGTCTGCTAGAGAACACATTAGAGTCTGTTAGAGCACACATTAGAGTCTGTTAGAGCACACATTAGAGTATGTTAGAGCACACATTAGAGTCTGTTAGAGTACACATTAGAGTCTGTTAGAGTACACATTAGAGTATGTTATAGAGTCTGTTCGAGAACACATTAGAGTCTGTCAGAGAACACATTAGAGTCTGTTTGAGTACACATTAGAGTCTATTAGAGTACACATTAGAGTCTGTTAGAGAACACATTAGAGTCTGTTAGGGCGCGGTCACACTGGCCATCCGTACCGTGCTGTACCCAAGCACGATTGCCCCCCTGCAGCGCCATTCCCCCGCTGGCCGGCGCGGCCCGTGGTCACACTACACAGGACTATCCGTGCCTAAGCACGATGACCTCTTGTACATATCGTCATAATACAACACATGCACACTTTATGTTATTATGAAGCGTGCTCAGTTTACAAACAGGCGGACGAGAGAGAGAGAGAGAGAGAGAGAGAGAAAAAAAGAGACGCGCAGTCGAGTCCGCGTCTGCACATCAGAGAAAAACACAGAGAGCATGACAGCTTTTCTGACTTTACAGCTTATTTTAAGCCATTTTAATCAGACACAACAATAAATACATTTTAAAAATAAAATAGACGCGCGGCCAAGTCCGCGCGGACGCCCGCACACAGAACAACACAGAGAACATGACAGCTACTTTGCGGCTTATATTGTGTCATTTTAGTCAGATACTGACATGAAACTCTGGATTTCGCCTTAATAAAGGCTGTCAGCGTTGTGTACCCGCATGCTTGTGCTCGTGCATGAAGTGTACCGTGCCGAAGCACACCTCTCCGAAGTGTGCCAAAGCGAAGGAAGTGTACTGTGCCTGAGCACGATACGGAGCGGTCACACTGGTCAAACGAACTGGACTTTAGCGTTGAAGCATGCTTGGGCACGGTACGGATGGCCAGTGTGACCGCGCCCTTAGAGAACACATTACAGTCTGTTAGAGTACACATTAGAGCAGGGGTATTCAATTAAAATTCAAGAGGTCCAGTTAGAGAACATTTTCTCAAGCATAGGTCCGGAACATCGTAATGTCTAACTTGCGTTATAATTCAATGTCATATACATATTAAATTAGACTAGTAGTTGTATCAACGTATGTAGGAAGTCAACAACTGACTGATTAAATAAAGAAATCCAATAATATTTCAACAATATTTATTCAGATTTCACATTGAACAGGGATTTTAAATAATAAGTAGTATTCTAATAATAAACAAATGCTCTCTTTTCATTTCAAGTAAAATAAGGGCTGCATATAAAAAATAAAATAAAGCTTTTGAAAAATGTGCATATCAAAATAAAGTGCTTAATTTTTGAAAAATGAAATAAAAAGTGCAGCTTGAGTTTCCCTTTTCTTTTCTTCCTTTTTTAACTCTGTTTCACATCTTAACAAACAATCTAAAATACTAATAACAAATGATAAACGATCTCAAAACATCTTCACAACTGAACAGCTTTAACACCTAATTTATTCTTTCTTTTCCTCTTATATCCCACTCCCCTACTTTCTCTTGTTCAGTGAGAGAAGTGAGCTCGAGCTTGGCCTGCCAGGATTTTAAATCTAGGCTTGAATGGTGTCAGGGCCATTCTCATACACACGTGTAGGTGCTCATTGGTGAGCCTTGAACGATATTTTGTTTTAATAATGTTCATAGTGGAGAAAGCTGCCTCACAGTTGTATGTGGAGCCGAACATGGTCAAGATGTACAGGGCTACTTTCCTCAGACCTAGGAAAGCTGTCTCTGAGACCATTTGGAGCCAGAAAGTGGCAGGGTCAGTCTCTCCAAAGTTCTTTTTCAGAGTCACATCTGCTTGGAGATCGACCAGTTCCATCTGGAGAGGCCCAGCATTTGCCCACTTGAAGTGCTGTGTGACTTCCTTTGAGAACCCCCTGACATCTGTGATGAGGAATGGGTTCTGAATGAACAGGGTGAGCTGCTGTCCAAGGCTGAAACTGTCAAACCGTTTGCTGAAGTTTACAATCAGCTTGTCCACAAAGTCAACAAAAGAAGATCTATCTCTGGGGGCGCTGCTGAGCTTTAATGGAGTAGGACGTGAGTTTGGAAGCTCCTGCCGATTTTGATTAAAATTGTAATTCATCTGCGCTTTTTGGTCACATATTTAGTCCTGTCTCACTCCACAGTACTTTTTGTTGGGTAGTTTATCTCTGGACTGCGTAACATGGCTGGAAAGAACTCTAAAACTTGCAATACTATTCAGACACAACTGAGGCCTGGTCCACAAACCGCGGCCACATCCTCGAGTGAGCCATCGGCTCCTGCAGAGGCCGCCTCGACGCACGCTAACCCTGACACCACTGCTCTCAAGCTCGAGTTGCTGGCCTTGCTGAGGAAAGATATTGCTGATATTTTTAAAAAGGAGCTCCAGGATACTCTCGGGGATGTTTTGTCTACTATCAAGCTCGACCTGCAAGCGGTGAAGACACAGCTTGCGAATGATGAAGCTGCTACCGATGCTACCATGTCCAAGCTAAAAGGTACGGTTGGAGAGATGGAGCACGCACTCACCGAGTGCAGCGATGACATCAACCAGATGAAAACTACTTTTAAGTGCCTCACAGATAACGTAGCCAAGCTGGAAAATAAATGTGAAGACTTGGAGTCTAGATCACGGCGTAACAACGTTAGGATAGTGGGAGTACCGGAGGGTCCTGACACCTGTACCACCGCTGCTGCAGCCGCCTTACTGATGGAAGCGTTTGTTCTGGTAAAGGAGCCGCTGTTGGACCGGTCCCACGGACCCTCCAACCCAAACCCAAGCCTCAGGCTTGGGTTTGGGTCACTATTGTTTGTTTATAGCAGGCACTTTTTTCCTTCAATTTTATTGGATACTGTTGTATAACAAGGCTATACCATATTTTGTATTTTTGTACTAAGATTAGCACTAAAATGAGGTCATTTTATGCTCTTTACAGTTATTTGTACAGGACTTAGGGCCTACTGTTATTTGTTAATTTGCATTTTCACATGCTTTACTGTATCTACCTGACCTATGTGAAAACATCTATGTACAAAAACAACAATATTTTGTATTGTGAGTTTTTTAACGTGTTTATCATTGCGCGCATTCTGTTAAATAGGGTTGAGATCGGCGGGAGTTTTTTTTCTTTCTCTTTTTCTCTCTTACTTTAGTTTGTTCTGCGTAGTCTCCGGGTTGTTCAAACTCTATTGTGGACAACTTTTGGGTATTGTGGGAAACACTGCTGTCTCCGTTGTTCTGTGGTTATATGGGGACTTTGGGTGTATTTGTGCTTAGGGGTATGTTGGGGGGAGGGTGTCCCACCTTGGCGCTCAATGTCCAATTGAATTTTTGTTTTGTTTTATATTTAAATGGTTAATGGCAATATAGATCCCAGCATTGCTGGGTCGGGCACACCTCTCAGATTTATTAGTTGGAAAATCAGAGGTATGGGTAATCCTGTTAAGAGATCTAAGGTTTTTACACACTTGAAACGTTTAAGTTCTGATATAGTATTTTTACAGGAGACTCACCTTCGTATTAAGGATCACCATAGGTTACATTGCCCTTGGGTAAGTCAAGTCTTCCACTCAAACTTTAATTCAAAAGCTAGAGGAGTCGCCATCTTAATTAACAAAAAAGTCCAGTTCTCATCCACTGATGTTATCGCTGATAGGAATGGCAGATACCTCATAGTTGCTGGTACCCTAATGCAGAAAAAGTTTTTGTTGGTAAATGTATAAGCCCCAAACTTAGATGATGTTGAATTCGCTAACAGATTGCTGAGTAACATCCCCTTCTTGAATACTCACCTCCTGATCCTCGGAGGGGATCTAAATTGTGTTTTTGATCCAATCTTGGATCGGTCTAATCCTCGTAATCTGACTCAATCTGCTATGTCTAAAACGTTCTCTGATTTTATGAAACAGAATGGTCTTATTGACCCGTGGAGATCTCATTTCAAATTCTATTGATGAGTTCTTGTCTTTCAATCAAAATGACTCCTCTTCATTTTCATTGCTATGGGAGACACTTAAATGTTACCTGAGAGGTCAAATTATCTCTTACTCTGCTCTCTCTAATAAAAAGATTAATGCTAGGCTTAATGAACTTACGTCTGCAATTAGTAACCTTGATCAAAGATATGCACTAAACCCTTCTCCGGAACTACTTAAGCTGCGTTTGGATTTGCAAGCAGAATTCGATCTCATTTCAACTAAAGAGGCAGAGCGCTTGTTACTATGTAGGCGTGGCTCATATTATGAACATGGTGACAAGGCGGGTTGTTTACTGGCACATCAGTTACGACGACAGGCCACTTCCCGTTTGATACCTAGAATTAAAAACACTTATGACACTATTACTACAGATACCTTGGAAATGAATGCTACTTTTAAATCATTTTACTCTTCATTATATAAATCTGAATTTCCTACAGACAACACTAAAATGAACAAATTTCTTCAGAACCTTTCTAATCCTGTCATTGATACTAATACTGCCAGGCAACTGGACTTACCACTCTCCCTTGAAGAAGTATCAAATGCAATTAAAGCTATGCAATCTAACAAAGCCCCAGGCCCTGACGGGTTTCCGATTGAATTTCTCAAAACATTTATTGGTAAATTGGCACCGCTACTTTTATCTGTATTTAATGAATCCATAGAGTGTGGTGCATTACCACCAACTTTGACACAAACCACTATTGCTCTCCTTTTCAAAAGGGACAAAGATCCAACCTGCTATTTTAAGTATTCTGGAGAACTTCAGCACCTTTTCAGGTTATAAATTAAATTTGGGGAAAAGTGAGTGTTTTCCCATTAATACTGCAGCATGTCATCTTCAACAGTCAGATTTACCTTTTCAATTTAGTCCATCGGGGTTTAAATACTTAGGTATTAAAGTGACTCATTCTTTATCTAGCCTTGCATCTGCTAATTTCACTCCCCTTATCTCAAAGATTACATCCGATATTCAAAGATGGGGTAACCTCCCCCTTTCATTAATTGGCAAGATCAATGTGGTTAAAATGAATATTTTACCAAAATTTCTATTTTTATTCCAGTCAATTCCTCTTTTTCTGCCAAAATATTTCTTTGATTCACTGGATAAGATAATTTGTTCTTTTATTTGGGTTGGGAAATCACCTAGGGTTCGTAAAACTTTACTGCAGAGATGCAGACTTAGTGGAGGACGTGCATTACCTAATTTTTTAACTTATTACTGAGCTACTTACATCCATAAACTTTGCTACTGGTTAAAATCTCCTGAATCCTCTTGGTGTAAATTGGAACTATCATCCTGTAGGGGATCTTCTATTCCTGCTCTACTTTATTCCTCTTTACCTACAAAACCCTCTCTATATACTGATAATCAAGTGGTTCTTAACACACTCAAGATCTGGTATCAATTTAGACAGTATTTTAAATTTGTTGCTGCATCTTCCTTGGGTCCTTTAAATAACAACCATTTATTTCCTCCATCACTTTCGGATTCAACATTTTCAGTGTGGTATGACAAGGGTATTACACAATTCAAATATCTGTATGTAGATGGTGTCTTTGATAGTTTTGCCAATTTGTCATCTCGCTACGGCCTCCCTGTTACTCATCTGTTTCGCTATTTTCAGACTCGCAATTTTGTTAGTAAGTGTTTCCCTAATTTCCCCTCTTTACCTCCAGAACAGCGATGGGAAACCACGCTATCATTTGCTCCTCATCACAGAGGAATCATCTCAAAGTTGTATGATATTATCTTGGCTTTTAGCAATCACTCAAATGCTAAACTTAAGTGAAAATGGGAAGAGGAACTGGGAATGCAAATACGAGAGGAGTCCTGGGAACAGGCCATAGAGAGGATACGATCTACCACCTCTTGTGCTCGTCTTGGACTTATCCAATTTAAGGTCTTATACAGGGTGCATTTCTCTAAGTCTAGACTATCTAAACTGTATCCGGAAGTGGAAGACAAATGTGATAAATGCCATGGCTCTCCTTGTCACCTTAGCCACATGTTTTTTCTTTGTCCTGATCTGAAAGGTTTCTGGGCGGGTTATTTTACTATTATGTCCACTGTTCTTGGGGTAATTCTCGAACCTTGTCCTCTGATTGCTATATTTGGGATTCCTGACCCCTTACTTGCACTTACCTCTACACAAAAGGACATTATAGCTTTCACATTCTTACTAGCAAGACGTTCCTTATTGTTGCATTGGAAGTCTGTTAAATATCCGTCTATCTCCCGGTGGCTCAAAGACATGATGTTTTTTTTGAAACTTGAGAAAATTAAATACACGTTGAGAGGATGTACAGTAAAATTTTTCCACAAATGGCAACCCTTTATTTCCTATTTCACAAATTTAGAGGTACTACCCGATTGAATGTGTGCCTGCTACTGTTGCACCTTTTGTATTGCCTAAATAACCATTAATATGTGTGTTGGTCATGATGCGCTGAGTGGGGGCATGGGTGGGGGGTTGTGCATTGTTTATTACACTCTACTCTGTGATTTAATTAAATTATTTTTTTCTACATCTTATCTTATCAGAAAAAAGGGAAAAAGGTAAATTATATTTCTGTGATTGGAAGTATCGTTTTGTATTTTTTTCCAATAAAAATATTTTGGAAAAAAAAAAGAATATCTATCTCTCTCACCCTGAACCTGTTCCTGCACTGATGGGAAGTGTGCACAGTCTTCCTGCAGGTCTTCCTTGAACACCTCAAGTTTTCTCTGGAAGCAGCGGACAGCTGTCATCAGGTCACAAACTGTATTTTCCTTACCCTGTAGCTTTACATTCAGTTCATTCAGGTGTGAAGTGATGTCAACCAAAAAAGCTACCATATCCATCTTCTTCTCATCTTCTAAAAAGAGAGAAAATTGTGTTGCCTTCTGGCACTTCAACTGTGCCAAAAAGGCTGCGATTTCCTTTCGGATGGACCAACACCCTGCCTTTGCTGAGCCATCTTACATTGTTGTGCAGCAGAAGGTCAGCATCAGCATTTGCATCAACTTCTCTGAGAAATTCCCTGAGCATGTGATGCTGATGGGAAGAGGATGCCCTGAGAAAGTTAATAATTCTCGTCATTGTGTTCATAACCTCAGCATACTCATCTGACTGGGTGGAGCACAGAGCTGATTGATGAATGATGCAATGGTAAGAGATTAGCTCAGGATTGTCCACTTTCATTCTTGCCACAGCTCCTTTCTCTCTCCCTACCATAGCAGGGGCTCCATCTGTGGTTATTGAAACCACTTGTTTTGTCTCTATTCCCCTCTGTGTTAACATCTCCTTTATGGCCAGGTAGATGTCCTCTCCTCTTGTACTGGTCTGAAGGGGCGTAACACCTAACAGGTCTTCTTTCTTCTCCTTGTTGAAGAATCTGACATAAACTAACAGCTGCGAACTGTCAGACACATCTGTGGACTCATCTACAGCTAAGCCTAAGCATGGTGCCTTATGAATGGCTTCATCCAGCTGGGCTAGCACATCCTTGGTTAACAATTCACTTTTTTGTGTGGCTGATAATGCTGACATAGGTATTTGCTTGATTTTTTCACAAAGCTTTTTGTTTACCCTCCAGCAAGGTTTCAGCTACCGCACTCATGCACTCCTTAACAACCCCTCCGTCAGTAAAGGGTTTTTTATGTTGACCCAAAAGCCAAGCCACTCTCAAGGAACATTCGTTAGCACGTTGTTGGGCAGTGAATGAATGGGATAGTATACGGGTGGATCGATCATATTGGGCTCTTAGATCACTTATTTTCTGTGCCCTCAGTTCGGATTTAAGTGGGTATGACTCGAATGCACAGATTTGATTGGCTGAGTATCATTACGTCAGATGATTACAACGCATGCAATTGGTTTGTGAGTTTCAGCCACTACCGTAAAGATGATAAAAGCTGCGCAGGTTAAAATAAAAACGCTCCGTCAAAATTGAATAATTTTCACTAATTTCACGGTTACAGGTCTGGGTCCGGATAGGACAGCTTCCGGGTCCGGACACGGACCATGGTCCGCCTATTAGAGACCCCCGCATTAGAGTCTGTTAGAGTACACATTAGAGTCTGTTAGAGAACACATTAGAGTCTGTTAGAGTCTGTTGGAGAACACATTAGAGTCTATTAGAGTACACATTACAGTCTGTTAGAGTACGCATTAGAGTCTATTAGAGTACACATTACAGTCTGTTAGAGTACACATTAGAGTCTATTAGAGTACACATTACAGTCTGTTAGAGTACACATTAGAGTCTATTAGAGTACACATTACAGTCTGTTAGAGTACACATTAGAGTCTATTAGAGTACACATTAGAGTCTATTAGAGTACACATTAGAGTCTGTTAGAGTACACATTAGAGTCTATTAGAGTACACATTAGAGTCTGTTATAGTCTGTTAGATAACACTAGAACAGACTCACTCTGAGGTTTTGGGACTTACCTTTTCTGTATGCACTGCGTGGCGTCGGGGTCGAACTTCATCCAGGTGTTATAAAACATCTGGAGGCCTTCGTCACTCAAGGACTCTACGTCCTCTAAACTGAAGGTCTCCATGACGACAGCGATGTACAGGTAAACCAGGAGCAGGGAGGTCAGGGTGATAAAGGTGGTAAAGAAGATGACACCCGTTATGGGGTTGCCACAGTCTCCGATGCCCATCAGTCCCGGGTTTTCCATGAAAGGGTCGCAGTCAGGAGGCGTGTCCATGATGGGCAGCAGGAAGCCGTACCATCCGGAGGTGGTGGAGGTCATTATCATGCAGGTCAGACTGCTCCAGAACGTCTCAAAGTTCCACATGTCATCGATGTCAGCGGCCTTCTTTATGTAGGCAAAGTTAAACATGCCAAAGATGGAGAAGCTGAACGTGATGAGGAAGAGGAGGAGGCTGATGTTAAAGAGGGCAGGAAGTGACATCATAAAGTTTGAAAGCAGCTTCCTGATCCCACCCTGAACAAGATGGATCACACGCATGACACGAACCAATCGCAAAATTGAAAACCAGGTGGGTGTGATGAAATACTTTTCCAAGAAATCAGAGATAAAGAGGCCTGAGGGGACAAAGGAGATGAACCACAGCATTACATCATCAGACAAGATGATGACATCATCAAACAAGGTGATGAAATTAATATATATAAGCTCACCTATGAGGAGATACAGAAGCACCACAAAGTCCAGGATGTTCCAGCCTGAGGTGAAGTAGTGTTGTTGGAGTGGGATGATCTTCATGATGAACTCCATGAGGAAGATGATGAGGAAGACGAACTGGAACCAGTTCAGAATGATTTCCGTCTGGAAGCTCTGATACGGAGTCTCCACCATCAGAACCACCATGTTCAGGAAGACAACCACCACCATGAAGACCTCAAACCACTGACTGGTCACCAGGTCAAAGAGCCGAGCCAGGCATGGGTTCTGAGCAGATTCATAGACAGGAATCAGAGCTCAGAGACCACAGGTGTGTCATCTGACGTGTTCAGTGTCTCTGATCTGATTTATTCTGGGTTACCTGCCTCTGTTCACCTGAGTCACTTCTTTGAGTCTGAGGTTATCCAGAGAGTATCCCCCACTAGGGCCGTAACCAGGGTTTAGAAAATAGTGAGGTCCAAAATGTTTTCTCTTAATGTATTATTTTGAAGACAGTACAGGGCATGCACATCCATAATGATACCTTCAAATGCAACCCAAACTAAACGCCCAATCAAACAAAACACAAACTCACACACATGACTTCCTATTTGTAAAGGCAATGATCTGTGGATAACATGTGGCCCCAGGTGATGATCCAAACAGAAAACTCCATGCCATTAGAAAGTGAAATTGGCCCTATTTTCTGTTTAGATTGTGGTCACCCCGACAAAATTTTAAGCAGCTTACATTTCTTTTCCTGCATTCTGGTCAGTTTTTATTCACAAGTTTGTCTTTTCTGCAGAACTTTATGATTCTTATCTAGTCTTTTTGTCCAGTTTATACTCCAGTACGAATGGAAAACAATAGATTGTGATTCATTTTCTTTGACACATGGTCATACAGTGATCTTATTAGGCCTATATCGTTTTCCTGGGTGGTTGTTTTTTTTAAGACGGGTCAGCACAGTTTGATTGACTATCACACTCACCTGAGAGAGAGAGAGTAATAAAGGCAAAACAAAAAGTTTCACTTCGTCCTGTATCACAACACGAGTCTACTGCAGGAAATTACGACGCAGCAAATACCAAGAGAGCACAATCACAGCAAGCAGCTGCACAAAACGAACAAAAAACGGAATAACACTAAAACAGATTCATTCAGCGAGTCCTAACAGTGAACAAGTGCTTCCCCTATCTCTATCTCCCTCTCTCTCTCCTCACCTGCAGAGGGTTTTTTCCACAACTAGACGGTGGGTGCGCTTCAAGCGCAGCGAGAAACACAGAGGAAGTGTAGGTCTGTCTGTGACTTTTGCTTTTTGCTCTTTTGGTTTTTTTTAAATTACCAAGGTCCAGACCTTGTGTTCTCACTGCTGGTTACGGCCATGTCCCCCACCTTATAACTGTCTTAGAACTGAACTCACCTGAGGACGGTGAGCTGGTTTCTGAATTAACACTAAACTCACCTGAGGACGGGGAGCTGGCGATTTACTCAAGAGACGAATTTTCAAAGCTTCAATTTTTTTCATCTGATCCTCCGTTGCAAAACAATGTTTCCCTTCAGAGGAAAGACAAACGACAGAAGATAAGAAAGAAGGAAAAGGACTTTTAGCACCTCACCTGTCTTGTCTGTTACCCAGCCTGTCTGTCTCTCATCCTGTCTCACCTGTCCTGTCTGTTACCCAGCCTGTCTGTCTCTCATCCTGTCTCACCTGTCCTGTCTGTTACCCAGCCTGTCTGTCTCACCTGTCCTGTCTGTTTCCCAGCCTGTCTGTCTCTCATCCTGTCTCACCTGTCTTCTCTGTCTGCAGGCTGTCGATGATGACTCTGATGAAGAAGATGAAGGTGAAGAAGGTGCTGATGATGAAGAATATGAAGTACAGGGACATGGGTAGGTTGTACTCATATTCCGGCTGAGACTCCACCTACACACACACACACACACACACACACACACACACAGAAACAATTTCAGCACTGCAACTAGTACAGTACCAGTCTAAAGGATGTCTCTCAAACCCAAGGTCAGGTGTTTGATCCCCAGCTCCTGCAGTTCCATCTCCGATATCTCCTTGAGCCAGACTCTTAGCCCAAATTTGCTCCAGCTGCTTCATCAGCGGCATGTGAGTTTGTATGAATGGATGAGTTAATACTGATGGACTCTTTACTCAGCAGCCTCTACCATTAGCGTGTGAATGTGTATGAATGGATGAGTTAATACTGATGGACTCTTTACTCAGCAGCCTCTACCATCAGTGTGTGAATGTGTATGAATGGATGAGTTAATACTGATGGACTCTTTACACAGCAGCCTCTACCATCAGTGTGTGAATGGGTTGGTGTGACCTGCAGTGTAAAAGGGCTTTGTGAAGTCAGAAGACTAGAAAAGCGCTATACATGCTTAAGTCCATTACTATCTAAATACGTGTATAATTACAGTATCAGTGTAAACACCAGTATAAGGACCAGTAAAGTGAACAGGGAGTGTTCTGACCTGTTTGGAGTCCACAGCTGCGTACATAGCATCAAACCAGCCGGACGACATCGTCTGTCAGAGAATCAACACAAAACAGACAAACTATGAATTTGAGAGAACAGAGCAGACACACACAAAGTCTGTAATCAGGCTGAGGCTTCAGTGGTATCAGGCTGAAGCTTTATGGTTAGCTTCACTGTTATCAGGCTGAAGCTTTACGGTTAGCTTCACTGTTATCAAGCTGAAGCTTTACGGTTAGCTTCACTGTTATCAAGCTGAAGCTTTACGGTTAGCTTTACTGTTATCAGGCTGAAGCTTTATGGTTAGCTTTACAGTTAGCTTCACTGTTATCAGGCTGAAGCTTTACGGTTAGCTTCACTGTTATCAGGCTGAAGCTTTATGGTTAGCTTCACTGTTATCAAGCTGAAGCTTTACGGTTAGCTTTACTGTTATCAGGCTGAAGCTTTATGGTTAGCTTTACAGTTAGCTTCACTGTTATCAGGCTGAAGCTTTACGGTTAGCTTCACTGTTATCAGGCTGAAGCTTTACGGTTAGCTTTATGGTTAGCTTTACTGTTATCAGGCTGAAGCTTTACGGTTAGCTTTACTGTTAGCTTCACTGTTATCAGGCTGAAGCTTTACGGTTAGCTTTACGGTTAGCTTTACTGTTGTCAGGCTGAAGCTTTACGGTTAGCTTTACTGTTAGCTTCACTGTTATCAGGCTGGAGCTTTATGGTTAGCTTTATTGTTATCAGGCTGAAGCTTTACGGTTAGCTTCACTGTTATCCTGCTGACGCTTTATGGTTAGCTTCACTGTGTAGCGAGCAGGGGTCCAATTGGGCGCCAGACAGTCTGTCAAAAAAGTCTCAAGGTGAATAGCTCTTATTCCCACTTAAATTCAACACAAAACCACGCTACGAAATACAATTAAATCAAAGTTCATTTAGCCTATACATTAAACATAAATTCAGGACAACAGAAATATTTCATATTTAAACAAAACATCTCATATACCTAAAGGTCAAAGTCCATGATCTCAAGTTCATCAAAAACGAAGATTTAAACCAGTCCAATGTTCTCATAAAAAATATGAATATTACAGAAAGAGAGGGGTTGAGGGTGTGTGTGTGAAGGTGTGTGAAGGTGTGTGGGTGGCTGTTTGGCGGGGGAAGGAGAGATTGGAAACCAGAAGCAGGGGAAGTCTTGAGGTGAGGTAACACAGAGAGCGAGTGAGACGATATCACCTGTCCAGGTTTTGGTTCCTGAGAGTGGTTGCAGCGTTACCACTCCAATGATAATTTCCTAACTGCCTGATCATGTACAAAGCTCCAGTCCATACCTCCAGAGCAAAGAAGGCACTCTTTGCAACACTCTACTGTGCAGCAATCCTCTGGGTGCGTTCAAATTGTCCCTCCTATCTCCTTTCACTATCCACTTTAAAACGTCATGAGGTTAAGGAAAGATATTAGGAGAATTCATAAAGGACTTGGGAAAGGCAATCTCGTTGCTCTGACAATCCGACCACATTTTCCACTAGGCGACGTAATTAAATGCGACGGCCGGCGGAGGTTAATGACGTGGGTCCACCATGTTGAAACTACAATGTTATGAAAATGGACTACTAAAAGCGCATCTAAAAAACTTTCCCTTATGCCTTCTTGCCGGTGAAATAATCCTAATCACCACAAGGTTGGGATTGAAATAAAAGCAATATAGACTACCAGGCTACGAGTAAAAAAAGTGAAACCATCACTTTCCTGTCCACTCAACATCAAAATAAGTATGATTGTATGAAATTAATTGTTACATTTATGCAACATATAACCTACACATAATATTTTAAGCATACAACTGCACAAAGCATTCTTAAGTGAATGAAATATGTTGAATAAAACATCATCTGGCTAAAAATGTCTCTTATCTTTTTATCTCTTACATCATCTGCGTCACTTTACGGCGGTCATAGTTAATGATCGTGAACGGTCGGATGCACGACTCGCTTTAAATGTTGCGGCCACAAACATATATTTTATCTCATTTCGTAAAGGATGGTCCAGTGTATCCTATGCTAAAGGAGGTTATAAAGGAAGCATTGACCCACCTTTCCTTAGCTTTTAGAGAATTCGAACGGCTCTTATCATGGCCGCCACTTAAATGCTTCCGGGTCATTTCACTCAGGCTGTATCCGAATTGCCAAGTACCTACTCAATCTGTCAGTAGGCAGTACCTACTATCCGTGCTGTATATACTGTTTTCCTACTTTGTCTGATCTGTCTTTCCTGATTCATTCAGTATGGAAGTGACGTCAATTACGTTACCCAAACCGGCCGCATTCACCCGTTTTTACATTTTTTTTAGCTTTATTCAAGAAGAGTGACGCGCATATACAGTCAGGTAAACAAAAAACTATATCACAATCTAAATCAAGTAAAATGCAGATTAAATAACTAAATAACATACAGTACATAAAGGAAAGTACAAATGAAAGACAGTAATATACAGTAAAGTAAAATAAACCAATAAAGATGCATTTAAATAGTGAAATCATTATTTAAATAGAGGGGGAAAGGTTTTATAATAATGCAGACATTTGTTTTATTTTCTGTTGTTAATTTAAAGTAGTGATTTCAGACAGGACTTTAACTCTAGATTAAGAATTGATTCAATTAATCCACGCTCGTTTGTTTTGATTTGGAGGCGGACGTGACGTGACGATTTACGTTTAATTTCGCACAGCATTGTAGGTGGTAAAATACAATTCATTTCCTGAAAGCACGCATCCGATCCATACTGCATGAAACCCGGAAGTTAGTATCCATACTGAAATGTTCAGTATACTGAGGTGGACCCAAAAAATGCATATTGAATGACCACGAGAGTTCAGTATACTGAAACTCCCTACTGAAAAGTACGTACTGCCTACTGAACTGTGGCTATTCGGAAAGGGCCCATGTTAGGAACCTTCCTAAGCAAAAATGACAATTCGAATGCACCCTACGCCTCCTCTCACACACACTCTCACTCTCAGGTGCAAACAATCATCAATTTGCCTATCATAGGCCACACCCCTTCCTCAAAGCCCTCTGCTGTGCAGCAGGATGCAGTCTGCACCCTGTCTGCTACAACTGTTAGCTTCACTGTTATCAGGCTGAAGCTTTATGGTTAGCTTTACTGTTAGCTAACCTGTTATCAGGCTAGAGCTTTACTGTTAATATGACTTTGACGATGGTTTCATATATCAGTTCAAGATTAGATTTAGGCTACTGATCATTAGTCTGATCCTATCTCAGGAAGACATGAATCAATCACTGTTTGGTTGACATAAGATCAATAACAGTTAAAAAATAAGTGTTATAATTATGTTTTTTGGTTCAACGGTTGATTCCCTTTTATCACCTTATGTTGTGGTAAATGTTCCTTAATGTTTAAACCACATTTCAAAGAATGCTTTGTGGCATTGTCACATTGAACATAACATAATGACTTTGAGTTTGTTCGGACTTACCACGATCACCAGCGACAGGTAACCATTCGCCACGTTGTCAAAATTTAACTTAATGTTTTTCCATCTGACTTCGGTGGAGTTTACATACATCAGCTCAAAACACTGGGTCTTGTTGTCCACTTCCTTGGTAGTGAAGAACTGCTCTGTCGTCTCATCGTAACAGTACCAAAACTTCCCCGCAAACAGGTTCACGCCCAGAATACTGTAGAACAACCACACGATCAAAAACACCAAAACACCGTTAACCAGGGAGGGGAGGGTCTGCACCAGAGTCCGAATGACCACCTGTAAAGAGGGAGAGAGAGAGAAACAGGTTAGACCCATCACAGACAGACAGGTATGACTAAAATACTGTTAACCAGACAGGTGCGGACCCTGCCCATCTCTCCGCAGACAGGCAGACTGGCAGACTGGCAGAAAGGTTGGAACACAGAGACAAGTTGAAAGAGAGACAGTTAAAAACCACACATACAAATACAGTTAGAGAGAAAGAGAGACGGGTAAAAACAAAACACAGACTGACCTGTGTGTGTGTGTGTGTGTGTGTGTGTGTGTGTGTGTGTGTGTGTGTGTGTGTGTGTGTGTGTGTGTGTGTGTGTGTGTGTGTGTGTTTAAAGTATAAAGTGCCTGTCTCACCCTCAGGCCCTGGAAGCGAGACAGGGTCCTCAAAGGTATCAGGGCTCTCAGAGACCAGAGGGCGGCTAGTGGTTTAGATTGTCCCAACAGGTCAGTAGTCACACATGTTAGAGACACCTGGAAGACATGACACACCTGCTGATGACATCACGGCTCAGGTGTGTGAAGGTGTAATTGTTAGATTCAAACATTTAAAGGAACAGTCCACCATTCAGGCTAAAACTTGGCTCTGATTAACTTCTCAGTCCTCATGTTACGTACAGAGCTACACCTAGCGCTGCTAAGTAGCAGCCGTTGTCTAGCAGCACTTAGCTAGCTACCGTTAGCTAACAGCCGTAAGCTCGAAGCCATTTGCTTAGCCTAGCATGAAGATGGGAAACAGCATCAAAAGTTTTACAGCCAATCAGAAAAAATGTCCCCAATGGTTTAACCTCTGCTCTGATCAATACCTCACCAATAATCAGTTATTGATTAATCTTCTTACGTTTAAGATTAGGAAGTCAAGCCAGCACCACCCGTTGGTGAAGTATTTTTTAAGTCCAAAGGCGCTCCACTTGAGAAGCATCTCCAGCAGGAAGATGAAGGTGAACACCTGGTCTGCCGTCTCCACAGCAATCTTTAAGGCCGGCCTCTGTGGCAGGTGAATGTCCTCGAACACCTATTTACATACATACACATGTTAGAGCTGGATAGACTCATGAGCTCAGTTCAATAAAACACTTCATTAATCCTACAGGCTCTAACATATTATATAAGGTATTTATTATGTAATAGACATTGAGCTGGACTCTGTCATTATTGTGTTTAGGACTATGTAACTCTCTATAATATAACTCTCAGTGCATCCATTATAACTTTTCTGACACTCTTATTTATCTACAACTTTATTTTGAAATTCTGCCAACTTAGTGACTTTAGCTAAGCAATAAGAGACTTTGTTTTGAAAAGTGTTTGCACTTTGTCATGTGACCTTTCCATGAAAATCATGTGATTATGACCTGACTGTTGGAGTAAACAAACAGATATTAACAGGATAACACTTTGTTAAGACCGTTTGTGCTTACCAGAGCTGCACTGCTCAGCACGATGATGATGATCATGAACGCCTCAAAGACTCGGTGCTGAACGATGGAGAGGCAGCTTCTCCTGAAGTTAGACCACACCCTCCCTGTACCCTGGGACTTGTTGAGGTCCAAGAACGGACAGCATCGGTAACACACTGAAACACACAGACACAGACTGAACATAGCTGATACTGATCACTGATTGGCTCCAGGCTTGAATCTTCATTCAGAGAGACTCGTACTGTCACAGCAGCAGTCTTCAGGTGTGTTTCCCTTAACACCTTTATTGTGTTCGTCCTGCTCACACTCAGGATGATTCAGCACGTCGTCATCACTCTGAACAGAAGCACATGTGTTACAAGCCTTGGTAGTCATTACTATTAGGTTTCAGTGACAGGATAAATCCATGTTGGTTTAGCAGGATGAGTAAACTGAAGAAGAACAACCATCACTATGGGTCCAAACAGCTCATGTGAGAAGCAAAGACAGCATTAGAACAGAAGAAGTTTACTCTTTTCACTCTTTCTTCTTTATCGTCAGTCGTTTTCAGTTCATCCTCGATCTCAGCAATGGGGGCGCTCTGGGACTTAGTGTCAACATGCTTGCTGGTTTTCCCGCTGAGGTCTTGATTCTCGGACACCGGCTGGTCTGAAGTCACAACATCCAAGGCCAGGTACTCCTTCCTGTTGCTGTCCTTACTGTTAGCATCTAGCATTCAAGTATGACCAGAGAAAGTGTTATACCCACCAGTTTCTTATAAGAACAGAGAAACACAAACCAGAAGAAAAAAAACAAACAACATACCAATCAAACTTCATATTTATAATGAATTAAACGATCACTCAGTCAACAAATAATAATCTGTGTTCAGGTTCAAGTTCTGGTCCCACCTGTGGGATCTGGTTTTTCCTTCCCCAGCAAAGCCCAGAATGCTTTCTTGATCTGGTCTATGGCGATGTCAGGGTTTTTTTTCTCCTTTCGCTCTGAAAGCAGCAGACTGTCACCGTTGAACCAGCTCAGTACCATGGTCAGGAACAGATTCAGGACCTGAGACAGGAAGGCACAGGTTCTGAAAACAGGAAATACTTCACACTTCATTTATCTAACCAGCTGCTGAACAATACATTCAGGTTTGATGGTGCGTTCACACCTGCAGAAAACTCCTTTAAACCATCTTATATTTCCACACTAAGCATCATGTGTGAACACAAACAGCTGAATGTTTCTCTCTTCACCCGGAGTTTCTCCTCCAGCCTCCTCGTATTTATTCTGCAGAAAGTCAGAGTGAGCTGATGTGAGAACGCAGCAGGATATAACCAGGAGAATTCACCTGGAGCGAGTGGGAGGGGGTGGTGACGTTTATTCCCTGTGATCACTGCACGACCATAGACTGTCTGCACGCCACTTCTACCATCTCCGTGCTCAACAATCATCATTGACGTGCAAAAATGAAAGACATGGAAGCAGATTCTATTGGATGCCGATGTTTTTAGTTCAACTGCTTTACCTACTGTGTCCCAGATTTGACTCTCAGATTTAACTGGTTCTGGATGATGTAATGGATGGTTCTATTTTAATGTCTTTGTAAATGGTGTCTTTCTTTGTGTCTCCGTCTGTAACTCTGCCTTTTTGCTGCTTCCTGTCTTGGCCAGTTCTCCCTAGAAAAAGAGGTTCTTATTCTCAATGGGCAAACCTGGTTAAATAAAGGTTAAATAAATACATTTTTTAAAATGTCCACTCTTTAATTCATATTGTGACTCGGTTGAACTACACACAGTGTTGTATAATGGATTATGTTGCTTTGTACGCCACTTCCACGTCATTCTTTTTAAGTCACGTCTTACCTTATGAAACTGATACAGGGACTGCATCAAGTCCACGAACAAGTCAAGAACATAAACAGACCCAGGAACAGATCAATGTTCAGGAATGTTCTATCCTGGATACAGGGTTTAGTCCAGGGAAAAGGAAGTCCGGGCATGCATTTAGGAACTTTACAACAGACTCTGGACCTGTAACAAAGCTGGAAACAAACTGACAGTGGCGTTTCCTCCTGAGGCCAAGAGAAGCCAGATTTACCCTTCTTTAAATAACATTTTCTCTGAAAATGTTTCAATTGCCTGGTGGCAGGCCAACTCCAAAACTAGAGCTGTGATCAGAGCTATAATAGTGTATCTGGTTACGTCACATTTCATGTGTACCCCGTTTAGTACGCCGTCAGGACCGCAGCATACTCTTACTGTTAAACCACCTCCAAAATGTACAAAGATGATCCTTTTCAGCAGTATGTCACTGGAGCCGATACGGTCAGGAACAGGTTCTGGACTTGATTTAAAACCTTCGATGTTGTTATAAAGACTAAATGCAGAAATTCAGAGTGTTGAGGGCAAAGGAATCCTGGTTGGTGTCAGCACTAGAGTGTTTCCGATAAGTATGTTCTGCTGCTATTGTATGTAAAGCCACCAATGAGATAACAGAATGATTATAATAATCTATCATCATAATATGATGACTTAATAAGTGCAATCAGTCAATCAATCACTCTTTATTTTTAAAGCGCCATTTCATAAGTGTTATCTCGAGACACTTTACAAAAAGTATTTTAACATTACAAAAGAGCAGGTAAAAAGACCATACTCATTGTTATGTTACAAAAAGTAGGTAAAATACCTTACTTATTGCTATATTACAAAGACCCAGCTTAATCCATCATGAGCGTGGGTCTACTGTTCACAAAGGGGTGCAGGGCCAAGTTAAGGCTAGCTATGGCTACTTTCAGGTTGCTGTTGCTTCTTCTTACCTGCTGCGGTCTGCTCTTCACCTTTTACTCAACTTTCTTTGGGCCTCTGTGTATGGTAGAATAAGTTCTTTAGACAGCTCAGATTTTTTTGTACCTTGAAAACTGCAAATTAACTGATGCAGAGTGAGAAAGAAAACCATCGACTAGTGTTTTCTGAGACAAGAATCTAAATTATCTTTGGTAAATAAGCCAACAACATTTGGCGAGCCAGCCAGGAGTGTATTCGTATCCTGCTGCTGGCCAGTGCAGCTTCAGGCCCCTTCAAACTGAGCCCACCTCTAGACCAATACACTGAAGGGCTACAGAAATATTTTCTCAATCTATAGCAGTCATCATGATGGACTGCAAGTGATGTACAGGAAACAGGACGAGGTTAGAGGAAGTTCATATTCAAGGACTCACCAACAGGTTTCCGATGACCATAACCACCATGAAGAAAATCAGACACATGGCCGGACCTGAGACCTCCATGCAGTCCCATGTAGTCTCGATCCACTGTCCTATCAGGACCCTGAAGACGATGAGGAAGGTGTGGAAGAAGTCGTTCATGTGCCAGCGTGGAAGTGTGCAGTCCAGAGAGATGCGACAGACACAGTCTTCGTAGTCCTTATGGAACAGCTGCATGCCGACCACACTGAACACAAACACCAGGATGAGCAGGACCAGAGTCAGGTTCATCAGAGCCCTCAATGACGTCCACACCATCTTTAGCAACATGTGGAAAGACGGCCACCACCTGGCCAACCTGAAGACTCGCAGCTACACGGGAGACAGGTAAGGAGACTGTGACACAGGTGAACAGACAGTGACACAGGTGAGTAGACAGTGAGACAGGTGAGGCGACGGTGACATAGGAGAGTAGACAGTGACAGGTGAGTAGAAAGTGAGACAGGTGAGGAGACAGTGACACAGGTGAGGAGACAGTGACACAGGTGAGTAGACAGTGACACAAGTGAGTAGACAGTGACACGGGTGAGGAGACAGTGACACAGGTGAGTAGACAGTGACACAGGTGAGTAGACAGTGAGACGGGTGAGTAGACAGTGACACAGGTGAGTAGACAGTGACACAGATGAGGAGACTGTGACACAGGTGAGTAGACAGTGACACAGATGAGGAGACAGTGACACAGGTGAGGAGACAGTGACACAGGTGAGGAGACAGTGAGACAGGTGAGTAGACAGTGACACAGGTGAGTAGACAGTGAGACAGGTGAGGAGACTGTGACACAGGTGAGTAGACAGTGAGACAGGTGAGTAGACAGTGACACAGGTGAGTAGACAGTGAGACAGGTGAGTAGAAAGTGAGACAGGTGAGTAGACAGTGACACAGGTGAGTAGACAGTGACACAGGTGAGTAGACAGTGACACAGGTGAGGAGACAGTGAGACAGGTGAGTAGACAGTGAGACAGGTGAGTAGAAAGTGAGACAGGTGAGTAGACAGTGACACAGGTGATTAGACAGTGACACAGGTGAGTAGACAGTGACACAGGTTATTAGACAGTGACACAAGTTAGGAGACAGTGACACAGGTGAGTAGACAGTGAGACAGGGAAGGAGACGGTGACACAGGAGAGTAGACATTTACACAGGTGAGTAGACAGTGAAACAGGTGAGGAGATTGTCACACAGGTAAGGAGGAAGTGAGACAGGTGTTGAGACAAGGAGACAGGTGAGGAGAAAGTGAGACAGTTGAGAAGACCAGGATACAGGTGAGAATGAAGTGAGACAGGTGAGGAGACTTTAAACAGGTAAAGAGGAGACAGTGAGTCAGGTGAGAATAAAGTGAGACAGGTGAGGAGACTGTAAAACAGGTAAGAGGACATGTAATCAGACAGGAAGACAGATTAAGTTACAGTTAGACAGGTGAGGATATAGGAAGACGAGGGGGGGGGCTGGCGAGACAGGCTTGGAGACAGACAGGTCAAAGGACATGTAATCAAAGAGGACGACAGGTGTAGCAGGTGTAGAGACAGGTGGATGATGTCATCAAACTTACCAACAGTATATAGGAATGGTCATGAATAGAGTTCGTAAATGGAATTATAAGACTGATGACGACGATGATGCTGTCAAAGATGTTCCAGCCCACCTGTAAGAGTGGAAACAAAAAATTGGCACACACAGGTTACCTTGGGAACAGCTTTAAATCTTAGTCAGTTAACTGGAAAAAAAACAGGAAGTTGCCTGACCTGAAAGTATCCGTATGGGTCCATGGCTACAACTTTGAGCAACATTTCAGCGATGAAGATATAGGTGAAGACCTGAGGGGGGGCAGAGGATCCCATACACACTTGTTTTAGTTCTCTCTCTTAGTACTACATTACCCATGAGTCTCAGTTATGTCAAATCAGCCAAGTCAGGTACCGAAACATTCAAACTTCAGACAACTGTGACACCCTCACCAGATGAGAGATGGCAAGCAGCTCATTAAAGTGCTCTGTCATCGGAAAATGTTCAGTTGCCATGAAGATTATGTTGACGATCAGGCAGAGTACAATTATAAGTTCAAAGAAAGGGTTCATGACCAAGGTGTGGAGCCGCTGTTTGAGCCACTGCCAGCAACCACAACAGTTCCACTTCAGACAGAGGACGCAGCATGGTGAACACGAGCCATCTGAGCCTGAGACAGAGAGAGAGAGAGAGACAGCTGATGGCATTTTTCCCCACAGTGATCACACGGACATTAAATTAACTTCTTTACAGTTCGTCCTCCAGAGCCTGTGATTAGGGCTGCGCCCCGAACAACAGTCTGTTCTCCATAGCAACCTACACATTCACACACTGATGGTAGAGGCTGCTGTGTAAAGAGTCTATCAGTATTAACTCATCCATTCATACACATTCACACACTGATGGTAGAGGCTGCTGAGTAAAGAGTCCATCAGTATTAACTCATCCATTCATACACATTCACACACTGATGGTAGAGGCTGCTGAGTAAAGAGTCCATCAGTATTAACTCATCCATTCATACGCTGCTGAAGAAGCAGCAGGAGCAACTTGGGTGTCTTGCCCAAGGACAACATCGGACTTGTAGCTGCAGGAGCTGGGAGGACATGAATACAATGAGGACACTAACACAATGTGTTTGTGTATACCTTCCAGCTCAGTGGATTTTTCCTCCATTTCACCAGTCTTTGTTTCTGAGGGTCTCCCCCTGCAGGCCACCTGCTGTAACAACAATACAAACACATTTTTAAAGCTTTATTTAAACCAGCCCCCATCCACAGGACTGTGTTTTTCAGACTGACTTCCTGTTACATTGAAGAAATGTCTCCTCTGCTCATTCTCCTACCTGCCTATTTGCTGATTATGTACCTGCTGGTAATTTACTTGTTGATTATTTACCTGCTGGTTATTTACCTGCTGGTTATTTACCTGCTGATTATTTACTTGTTGATTATGTACCTGTTTCTTATTTACCTGCTGGTTATTTACCTGTTGATTATGTACCTGCTGGTTATTTACCTGCTGGTTATTTACCTGTTGATTATTTACCTGCTGGTTATGTACCTGCTGGTTATTTACCTCTTGATTATTTACCTGCCGGTTATTTACCTGCCGGTTATTTACCTGTTGATTATTTGCCTGTTGATTATTTACCTGCTGGTTATTTACCTGTTGATTATTTACCTGCTGGTTATGTACCTGCTGGTTATTTACCTCTTGATTATTTACCTGCCGGTTATTTACCTGCTGGTTATTTACCTGCTGGTTATTTACCTGTTGATTATGTACCTGCTGGTTATCTACTTGTTGATTATTTACCTGCTGGTTATTTACCTGCTGATTACTTACCTGCTGGTTATTTACCTGTTGATTATGTACCTGCTGGTTATCTACTTGTTGATCATTAACCTGCTGGTTATTTACCTGTTGATTATTTACCTGCTGGTTATTTATCTGTTTCTTATTTACCTGCTGGTTATTTACCTGTTGATTATGTACCTGCTGGTTATTTACCTGCTGGTTATTTACCTGATGATTACGTACCTGCTGGTTATTTACGTGTTGATTATTTACCTACTGGTTATTTACATGTTGATTATTTTCCTGCTGGTTATTTACGTGTTGATTATTTACCTGCTGGTTATTTACCTCTTGATTATTTACCTGCTGGTTATTTACGTGTTGATTATTTACCTACTGGTTATTTACGTGTTGATTATTTACCTGCTGGTTATTTACCTCTTGATTATTTACCTGCTAGTTATGTAACTGTTGATTATTTACCTGCTGGTTATTTACCTCTTGATTATTTACCTGCTGGTTATTTACCTCTTGATTATTTACCTGCTGGTTATTTACCTCTTGATTATTTACCTGCCGGTTATTTACCTGCCGGTTATTTACCTGTTGATTATTTGCCTGTTGATTATTTACCTGCTGGTTATTTACCTGCTGGTTATTTACCTGCTGGTTATTCACCTGCTGGTTATTTAGCTGTTGGTTATTTACCTCTTGATTATTTGCCTGTTGATTATTTACCTGCTGGTTATTTACCTGTTGATTATTTACCTGCTGGTTATGTACCTGCTGGTTATTTACCTCTTGATTATTTACCTGCCGGTTATTTACCTGCCGGTTATTTACCTGCTGGTTATTTACCTCTTGATTATTTGCCTGTTGATTATTTACCTGCTGGTTATTTACCTGCTGGTTATTTACCTGCTGGTTATGTACCTGCTGGTTATTTACCTGCTGATTATTTACCTGTTGATTATTTGCCTGTTGATTATTTACCTGCTGGTTATTTACCTGCTGGTTATTTACCTGTTGAATATTTACCTGCTGATTATTTACGTGTTGATTATTTACCTGCTGGTTATTTACCTCTTGATTATGTACCTGCTGGTAATTTACTTGTTGATTATTTACCTGCTGGTTATTTACCTGCTGATTATTTACCTGCTGGTTATTTACCTGTTGATTATGTACCTGCTGGTTATCTACTTGTTGATCATTAACCTGCTGGTTATTTACCTGTTGATTATGTACCTGCTGGTTATTTACCTGCTGGTTATTTACCTGCTGGTTATTTACCTCTTGATTATTTACCTGCTGGTTATTTACCTGTTGATTATGTACCTGCTGGTTATTTACCTGCTGGTTATTTACCTGCTGGTTATTTACCTGTTGAATATTACCTGCTGATTATTTACGTGTTGATTATTTACCTGCTGGTTATTTACCTCTTGATTATGTACCTGCTTGTAATTTACTTGTTGATTATTTACCTGCTGGTTATTTACCTGCTGATTATTTACCTGCTGGTTATTTACCTGTTGATTATGTACCTGCTGGTTATCTACTTGTTGATCATTAACCTGCTGGTTATTTACCTGTTGATTATTTACCTGCTGGTTATTTACCTGTTTCTTATTTACCTGCTGGTTATTTACCTGTTGATTATGTACCTGCTGGTTATTTACCTGCTGGTTATTTACCTCTTGATTATTTACCTGCTGGTTATTTACCTGCTGGTTATTTACCTGTTGATTATTTACCTCTTGATTATTTGCCTGTTGATTATTTACCTGCTGGTTATTTACCTGTTGATTATTTACCTGCTGGTTATTTACCTGCTGGTTATTTACCTCTTGATTATTTACCTGCCGGTTATTTACCTCTTGATTATTTACCTGCCGGTTATTTACCTGCCGGTTATTTACCTGCTGGTTATTTACCTCTTGATTATTTGCCTGTTGATTATTTACCTGCTGGTTATTTACCTCTTGATTATTTACCTGCCGGTTATTTACCTGCCGGTTATTTACCTGCCGGTTATTTACCTGCTGGTTATTTACCTCTTGATTATTTGCCTGTTGATTATTTACCTGCTGGTTATTTACCTGCTGGTTATTTACCTGCTGGTTATGTACCTGCTGGTTATTTACCTCTTGATTATTTACCTGCTGGTT